TAAGTAATGCAGGGCCTGAACTCAGGACCCTGAGGTTAGGACCTGAGGTGAGTTCAAAGGTCAGACGCTTAACCGACTGAGCCACCCAGTCGTCCCTAGGTTGTTGGTCTCTTTTACTGTTGAGTTGTGGGTATGTTTTTAAAAAATATTTTCTAGATATATTCTATCATTTATCAGGTACGTGATTTGTAAATATTTTCTACCATTCTGTGGATTGTCTTTTTACTTTTTTGATAATGTCCTTTGATACACAAAAGTTTTCAATTTTGATGAAATTCTACTTTTCTATTTTTTTTTCTTTTGTCATTTGAGTTTTGGTATCATCCCTAAGGTCACAAGCATTTACCTATGCTTTATTCTAAGAATTTTATAGTTTTTGGCTCTTAGATCTGTGATCCATATTGAGTTTATTTTTATTTATGATGTGTGAATACAGTTTTATAGCTTTTCTTCATATGTCCTATCTTAAGGGGTTTCTCAGTCATTATATTTCAATATAGAGATGGGCCAGAATTTCCCTAACTGTCCTTTTCTTGTTGGACCCTTAAGTACTTGTTATTTTTTCACTATTCTAAACAAAGCCACAACGAACACATTTTTGTTCACATTAGAGATTATTTTCTTACGATACAAGTTGAATGACAGGGCCAAAAGTTATGAGTTTTTTTTTTTTTTTTAATATTTTATTTATTCATTTGACAGAGATTACAAGTAGACAGAGAGGCAGACAGAGAGAGAGAGGGAGAGGGAAGCAGGCTCTCTGCTGAGCAGAGAGCCCGATGCGGGGCTCGATCCCAGAACGCCGAGATCATGACCTGAGCCGAAGGCAGAGGCTTTAACCCACTGAGCCACCCAGGCGCCCCAAAAGTTATGAGTTTTTTTCAAATTTAAGATAGCCTCTGTTTTAAACTATTTCCTCTATTCTTGTCGCTTATCAGTGCACTTGCTTAGTCTCCCAGCACTGAGTCTTGGTGTTAGTGATGGTTTGTAGATTCAGAAGAAATAGTTACTCTTTGTTTTCATGCAATTCGTGGTGCTAACATACAGATGCCTAATGTAAAGGGGTAACTGCCAGATTTTTTTAAAAAGGCAAAGCAATCTGAAAGTTTTTTTAGAGTAACATATGCTTCCTTTAGGTATATGCTCAAGAGAATTGAAATTTTTCTTATGTTCATACAAACACTTGTACATGAATGTTCATGGCAGCACTATTGACAATAGCCAAAAAGTAGAAACAACCCAAAAGTCTTTTAATAGACAAATGGAAATACTGACACATAACACAGGATGATCCTCAGAAACACTATACAGACTGAAAGAAGCCAGACACAAAAGGCCACATTTTGTATGAAATGTCCAGAATAGGCAATAGAGACATTAAGCGGGTCAGGAGTTGCCACGGATTCAGGGAAGGGGAGGAGTGGAAATGATAGCTAATGGATATGGGGCTTCCTTTGGAGTAAAAAAAAGTTCTGGGATTGGATGGTGGTAATGTTCGCACAATCTTGTGAACATACTGAAAATCACTCAATTATAAGTCACCTAACATGGTGAATTTGATGTTAATTATATTAAAATATAATTTTAAAATATTAAGGGTTTTAGGAAATACCGAGTTTAGTTATAAATCATCCTCACTCTTCAGATAATTTGCCTACCAGAAAAAGGAGAGTGAGAAATATATGCTTATTAAAGCTCAAACAGAATAAAATATTTTTTTAAAAGATTTTTTAATTTATTTGACAGAGAGAGAGGTCCCAAGTAGGCAGAGAGGCAGGCAGAGAGAGAAGGGAAGCAGGCTCCCTGCTGAGCAGAGAGCCTGATGCGGGCCTCGATCCCAGGACCCTGAGACCATGACCTGAGCCGAAGGCAGAGGCTTAATCCACTGAGGCACCCAGGTGCCCCAGAGTAAAACATTTTAAAAGAACAATCTCTTCCTTCTTAATTACTCTAAATCCCTCTCCCCAGAGATGTCCACCATGTAATAGTTTGGGGTATATTTTTTGAGACTGTGCTCCAAGCATGTGCGCGCGCACACACACACACACACACGGGTTTTTATTGAGTGTTTCTCATCCAATCAGGGTTTATTCACACATTTAAAAAGGAGTTTTTTAAGCTCTCAGTTTCTGCAGAGCCTTGGGAAAGGATGAAAAATTGAATCAGACAGGTGCCTACGGTCTAATAGAGAAAGAAGCCTATACATGAGTATCACAATATGAGATAGGAGTGTGGTGGTACCAAGAGAGGTCCCAGTAATATTAAACCAGGTGCATGGGGCCCTGTGTTTACAGTCATTAGCAGTTGAAGCCTGCAGGCCATCTCTTTCAGGACAAATCAGGAGTTGGGCTGGAATAAAGTATATATGGAATGAGAAATGCAGAAATTGTGGAATTTTCATCTTATAACTGAAAGCTTTCTCCTCCTGAGAAAGGAAGCAGTTTAGTCTTAAATTTCAGAGTTCCTTCTCTGATGATTTGAAATGTCCAGCGAGGGCCCCAGAAAAGACTTTGTGCAGGTGGACCCAGATGCAGATACACTACTGACTAAGGCCAGGTTCTCTTCCTAACAGTCAGACAGCTTGGCCGTCCTGGGGACCTTATTGTTCTGGAGGTGTTGGGATCCCATGTGGTTTAATTAGTAGGACTTAACTTGCTATATGAAGAATTTTTCTTTCCTGTATGGACTTGAAACCAACTGTCATCACAGCAAAAAGAAGGAATTCCTTTAAAATTGGAAAGTCGTTCGTTTCTTGGCAATTTTTTTGTTTGATTTAGCAGCCCCAGAGCTCATGGAATATGTCATTCGAGTTATTTAAAATCTAAACCCAAACTTGTAATTCTTTATGGCTTACGACAGCTGCAGAGCAGAAATGAGAAGTGTGGTCTGCTTGGCTCTGACAACAGGGCTCTTGCATAGAAGGCTGAGTGGTGCTTGCAGTTGCTTGCTGGGAAGACTTATTCTTTCATCACGGCAAATTAATCTGAGCAGTAACATCGCCCTCCAACCAGCAGGAGTCTGTGTCCTCCCATCAGCTTTTCCTAATGTGTTATTTACTGATAGGCCAGTGGTACAGGCAGTACTTGGAGAGCCTCATTGGAGTCTAGGGAAGAAGGCAGAAGGTCAGGGAGCCTGTGCCTTTGTAATTTGATGGACCCATTGTTTCCAATTCCCAGAGGTATCCCAGAGAGGCACGATAGGGACAGGGTCTTAACTTGTGATTAAAAGGAGTTCTTTTTTACAGAACTTCTTAGCCCTGTGCTCCCACTTTTTTCTCACCTGAGAGTCGCTCCACTGAGAGGGGCACCGCCACAGTTCTGCTAACCCTTAAGTTCTAACAAGAGCTCCCACCTACTGAGCTTTCCCTACACGCCGGATGTTGTGTTGAGCTGTTCTATGTACGTATCTCTTGCTTCACACACAAGGTCTCATTTGATCCTCACGCAGCTCTGCTTGGTGGGCATTCGGGAAGAGCTGAGGCTTGGAGAAGTAAAGCCATGTATGCAAGTGAGAGAGCCTGGACTCAAACCCAGGTTTGTCGCTTGTTAATGGTGACACCACCCTCACCATGGCCCACAGAAGGCTCTGCTTTCAGGCTCCTGCCGGCTCTCTGACCTCACGCCCCCGTTGTCCTCTCTGTCCCTCAGCCTCACCAGACTCATCCCAGCCTTTGCCTTGGGTCGCCTGCTGAGACTGCTCTTCCCAGATCGTCGCCTGACTAGCTCCTCCTCCTTCTGGTCTCTGCTCATACACCACCTCCTTGAAGAGGCCTTGTCTGATCACCCTGTTAAAGAAGCATTTAGAGATACTGTTTTCAAAGATACATTGCTTTCTAAAAAAGGTCTAATTTTTAAAAAAGATTTTATTTATTTATTTGACAGAGAGAGCAGAAGCAGGGGGAATGGTAGGCAGAGGGAGAGGGAGAAGCAGGCACCCTGTGAAGCAGGGAGCCTGTGGCAGGGCTTGATCCCAGGACCCTGAGATCATGATCAGAGCCAAAGGCAGACGCTTAACCTACTGAGCCACCCAGGTGCCCCAAAAATAGCCTAATTGTAAAAATAAACTATTTTGCTTTAAGTTTATAGGGATTTTTTTTCCATATGAAGCAAAACAAGCCAAAGTTTGGAGTGTATAAATTTTAAATGCTTGCTTGGTTGTTAGACCATATAGTTTCTCAGCAGGATACCATAAAAATCACTGTCCTGCTAATGACTACCTTGACCTAATGCGTTGATCACAAGGCTTTCTTCATACACTGAGTCTTTATCTGGCAGCATAACAGCATCCAAGTATTTGGGCCAAAAATTAAGTAGTTTATATGAATGTGAGCTCAACGACATGTTTTAAAAGAGTGGGCAGAATCGGGTCCTGAGAACTAATCTTTCGCAAGGAGATTTTGTTGTGCTTGTTGTAATGAAACTTACTTGGGAAGAGACTTCCGTCTGTAATCTAGAACACATAAGATAAGCTTTATAGTTTGTTCTTGAATTCCAACCCATCCAGCATTGTGATTCATTCATATTTAGGGAGCATGTACGAAATGCCAGGCACCCAGATAGAGGAGGGGAAACAAGACAGACATGATTCTCTGCCATCATGAAATCTAGTGGGGACAAGACAAATAAATGGACAGTGGTGACCTTCTGATAAATACCTGGGCAGATGGGACATACTGGGTGGGATGAAAACATGGAGCAGGACATCTGTCCCAAACTTAAGAGACAGGGAAGACTTCCCAGAAGAAGGGACTTCTAATCTGAGGGCTGAAGGATGAATGAGAGTTTTAGCCAGATTGGGATTGGGGTGGGGTGGGCAGTAGGTTTCAGGAAGGTGGGAAATAATGCGAAGGCTAGGAGATAAGAGATGTGGTCCGTGTTGTCTCAGTTCTTACTCATTAGATCAGATGCAGTTGGAGAGCCTCAGAAAAAGCAGATCAATGGGGAAAGCCATTGAGAATATGCTCAGAAATTACCTGTCTCTTTCTCTTATCTGCTTAACAGAAAAAACTCGAATCTCCACCCCCATCCACTAATCCCTTCCTGGAAGATGAGCCAACACCAGAAATGGAGGAACTGGTGATGGAGAAAGGAGATTTAGATCAGGTAAGTCCAGTTTGCCTTTTCCCCGTGCCTCCTACCTCATGTTTGCTTTTGAAGATGGGTCCGCCCGCCTCTCTGTGTGGCCCTTTGGCCACTGACCACATTCAGAGGATTACAACTTTGGTGGTCTTTATAGAAAGCCCTTATCTGAAGGTGCTTTTTGAAAACTGAGCCTTTCCTGCCTGCCTCATTCATCATCTCCTACGCCTGCCAGCCTCATTCTCGGTTAGGTTCTCATCGGGCCGGTGACGACACAAGAGAGACCCCAGGATCCCTAGTGGAGTTCTCAGCACCATTAGCGAGGAGAGGCCGCCACTCAGGGCAAGCTGAGCACTTGAGGTCTGGAATGCGTTGGGGAGGCCTGGAAACATCAAGGTCACCACTGGCATATTTGGAGAGTTACTTCTCAGAGCACGCTAGCACTTTCATTTCCTTCGGATTTTCTGTCCAACTCCAAATTTCCTCTCCCTTCATCCTATAGAATGGTGTTTTTTGTTTCACCGCCGTTTTATGACAGAGCGGTTAGAGCAATAAATCAGGCCTTTTCCTGTCTGGATTAGTGATCCTTCTTTTTAATTTTCTACACTTGGCTGCTCGAGCAGTTATTTTATAGTGTTGTTTTGCTCCAGACACCACCAAAAGGGAGGCTGGCTGGAAAGACCAGCCCGGGATCCCCATAGCCAAGCACATGCCGCTAACCCACATTCCTCGCCTGGTGAGGGTAGGTGTACAATCATGGCAGGAGCCACAACAGCATTTCCAGGAGCAGTTCTGAAGTGATGCAGTAAAATGTGTCTGGTCCACTAATTAAATAATTTTAATAACACGGATACCTCACGTTTTTATGGGCTTTATAGTTTCATCGTCTTTTATGGGCTCTGTTTCATTTCGTCTTCCCAGTGCCTGCCCCTCATTTTACAGGATTTTCTATGAGCTGCAGTGTGTGCAGCTCAGAGAGGTTAAGTGATTTGCGCAGGGTTAGAGAGTCCGGGCATGGACGATCTAGAACTGGAAGCAAGATCTAGAAGTCAGAGACTAGAATTCCTTCCATGGAGCTCTTTTACTACACTGGGCTGTTTCCGTGGAAAGTGGAGGTCACAGAAATGAACCCCAGGTGAATGAATAAAACTGGAAGGATACCTTACGGGCTATATCCCAGAGATCTGTGGGATTAGCTGTAATTGATTTGAATCTATCATATCAGCTAGAGTGGGAGATAACAAAAGATTTCTTCTAACTGAAGAAGTGCATCTTTTGCATGTGGGAAGGAAGGACTGGGAAAGGAAGAGTCTGGGCGTTGAGCTCGTTCTTCTGGGTGTGTCTTTTACCACACTCCATCACCTGCACCCTTTGAGTTTGCTTTGGGTTGTAGTGCCCTGTTCAGGGCCCTGTGGCTGTTATTATCCTTGTGCCACCATGAAAAGTTACCCCTTCAGCTAGTCATCCCGGATATCAATAAACTGGATTATGATAGAGGCCCCCATTACTATGAAATTTGTTTACTGGATAAAATATGATTTGTCTCTCTCATGGAACTTTTTGCTCATCATGGAAGCTAGAGATTATTATTGTAAGGACCAAGACTGCTCCTTCTAAGGACACACAGAGCACAAATACAGGGGGTAAAGCAGAGGCAGACTGCTGTCCACCTTTAACTGACCACGTGGTAGATTTTTTACTCTCTAGGCTTGCCTAGTGTTTTCCTCTTTAGAGAGAGCCCATAGTTTTCAGACTGTATTTCTTGGTGCCCCCATCACATGTCACTGGGGGTATTGGGAGGAGACCAGGGCTCTGACTCTCTCCAAACAACAGTTCTGTTACAAGTCATTTCTATCATGGAATTCCAAGTAAAATTTCTTTGGAATCAGGGGTTTGAGATCCAGTTAAAAAGAAAGTACCAAAAACTTCTGGACTGTATGGCCCACCTGCAGCTTCACTGGCCATGGCTTGTTAGTGATGACACCCAAATACTACCCCCAGCCTCCCGCAGCCTCCCCAGCACTTGTCTTGCTTGTGATTCCTCAGTGGGCAGCTCCAGGATCTCCCTCTTCCTGGCCACTTATTGGCTTCTGGAGTTGGGGGCCTTAGGGAGGAAGTTCACAGGAAGCTTGGGCTGGGTGGAGCCAGAGGTGTGGGAGAAGGCCCCCAGTGATTGTCTGGGGTTACCCAAGCCGTTGTGTCACCACCACGGTAAGTAGACAGTTGACTCTCAAGGACAGGGTCTCTCCCCGCTTGCTCCTGCAGCGTGGGCTGTTGAGAAAAGAGTGTGAGCTTGAAAAAATGTACTTAGTTTGAGCCACCAGTTGCCCATGCACTCCCCAGTGATGAAAAAAAAATGGTACCCAGAAGGGGACTGAGGGTGCTCGAAGAAAAAGGAAGAAGAAATAAGGAATTTCTGGTTGAAAAATGTATCCTTCTGGTGATCCAAGCAGTTAGATTTCATCTGTTTACATTGGATGGTAATAAAAGGAAGTGGGGCCAGCTGCAGAGCTCCTTACTGTGACAACAGTAACCTTCTATTATTCCCTCCAACTCCGGGAGGAAATAACCGAAACATCTGCAGCTCTTGGACTGAATTCACACACTCAGGCAGCCTGAATGCTACTGCTAAATGGCTTCGTGTGTTCTCTACAGTGTTCTCTCAGCAGAGACCTGCCCCTCTGGGGAGCCAGACAGTGCCTAGGGAGACGCCACTGTGAGCTGAAATTCCAGCACCTCTTATCTAATAAAGTAGCCACAGCCCAGAGGCAGCCCTGTGGGAAAAAAGCATTTTTAAAAGGGAACGTGGGGCAACCTCCCATTGTTCCCCTTTCGCTGCCAGCTCACACTCAAAACGCTGCAAGGGACTAGGAACTGTGGTGTCAGGTCTTCTCCTCGCTTCGAGGAGTGGCTGGCATTAGTGGACAGAGGCGGGGCGGAGCGGTCACCTGCCTGTAGGGTTGGGACACCCACACTGTCTGATGATGCCGCTCCCTGAGGGCCAGGGTCGGAGTGCTCTGTGGTGCCTCATCGAGCACACAGTCTGCGGAAGACTGACCAAGGTGACTCTGTTCGAATAGCACGGAGCTGTTTTCTTTTATCACTTAGAATCTGTCTCTTATACATATTCTGAATGAGCTCCTCAGACTTCTCTAGACCCAGATTTTTATTGTATATCACTTTTGCACATATGTAAAAAGGAAAATAAGAGCCAAATAAATAGGTTAAGATATTGCTAAAACCACTTCACATTCAGAGTCCAGTTCTCCTGTACCACTTAAAAAAAAACAACAACGTTGTATTTTGAAATAATTATAAACTCATAGGTAGTTGCGGAATGCAGAGAGGTCCCATGTACCCATCTCCCAGCTTCCCCTGGTGGTGACAGCTACCATAACTATAGTGCGTTGTTAAGACTGTGAAATTGATTCTAAGCCCTATTTCACTCAGGCGCAAAAATGCCCATATTTTCCCACACGATGTCTGCTGGGCTAGCCAAAGTTTTGGTGACGTGCCATTGCTTGACTGCTCCACAACTGTTTCCGGGGTTATCTGCCAGGCCCTTGGCTCCCATCTCCCAAGCTTTTTATTGTTATTTTTTACTTTTTAAAAGGAAAATACCTAAATTAGAGAAGGGTTTTAAGTATACTACAAGAACTCTCAAATATCCTTCACCTGGGTTTACAGTTGTTAACATTTTGGTACATTTACTCTCTCATTTCCTTTTTTTTTGCCCACATTCCTCCTCTCCCTCTCTCTCCCCCTGTCTACTTTTGCCCCTTCTCCTCTGTCTCTCTCTCTCTCTTTTGGAATAATTTATAAGTTAGCATATATCATGTCCTTTAGCTCTAAATATGTCTGTATGTACGTCCTAGCAAGAAGGTCATTCACTTAAATTACCACAGATCAAAATCAGAAAATGTAATATCAGTACAGTATTACTATCTAATTTATGGAACTTAAATTTCATAATGTAGCCATTCTAAGGTGATAAACTAAAACATTGTCAGTAATTGGCAAATTGCACATAAATTAGTAAAGCCAAATACAAAATACTTTATTTTAAATATGTTGATTTAGGGGTGCCTGGATGCTCAGTGGGTTAAGCGTCTGCCTTTGGCTATGGTCATGATCCCAGGGTCCTGGGATAGAGAGGGCTCCCTGCTCAGCGGTAAGCCTGCTTCTCCCTCTCCCACTCCCCCTGCTCGTGTTCCCTCTCTCTCCATGTCTCTTTCTATCAAATAAATAAAATCTTTTTAAAAATAAATAAATAAATGAGTTGGTATATTTATTTTAAGATTTTATTTATTTGTCAGAGAGAACACAAGCAGGGGGAATGGCAGGCAGAGAGAGAAGCAGGCTCCGCACCGAGCAAGGAGCCCAATGCAGGATCCTGGGATCATGACCTGAGCCAAAGGCAGATACTTAACAGACTAAGCCACGAGGCATTCCTAAAATATGTTGATTTAAAACATGAGAACATTCTGTATTATATAAACTCCCAATTTATAATTACCAGAAGCTGTCCTGTAGACGTGTGAATATTTTTGGCACAAGAAAAATATAAATAAAGAGGATAAATATTATAGGATTATTAATATTACTATATTAATTATATTAATATATTAATGATTATTACTATATCAGTAATTGTATTGATATTAAATATATTAAAGTATTATATAAATATAAGCCTTATGATGACTAATCTGGGCATTGTGGCTATAGTTTTCAGTTCTAAAATCAGAATATCTGGGGCGCCTGGGTAGCTCAGTGGGTTGAGCCTCTGCCTTCGGCTCGGGTCGTGATCCCAGGACCCTGGGATTGAGTCCCGCATCGGGCTCTCTGCTCAGCAGGGAGCCTGCTCCTCCTCTCTCTCTGCCTGCCTCTCTGCCTACTTGTGATATCTCTCTGTCAAATAAATAAAATCTTTAAAAAAAAAAAAAATAAGTCCCAATGAAGCCTTTAAAAAAATAATAATAAGTAATAAAATCAGAATATCTGGTCATATATAAGTTAGACAAATCACATTTATCTATTCATTTAACAGTCACCTTATTGAAAAGAATGAAATAATAGATAACTGATTTGGAAAATATAGAACAATTAGATAAAGACCACCCCTACACAGCCATTATACTAAATCATGGATCTGCCATTTTAAACTGTTGGGAGTGTGGGAGAAACTTCAGCGCATCTGTGAAATGAAGTGGAACTTTGGATCCATCCAATTCAAACTTGGTGAACCCAGGCTGGGGAGTCTCTTGTGGACTCAGCCTCAGACCTGACTTTGGTGGTGGCTTCTGGCTGATAAGAAAAACAACCCGACTGTAATTTAGGGAATACCAGAGTTTCTAAAAATCTTGCAAAAAAACCCTAAAAACATGGAACTCTCCGAAGGGGATAAGAGAGAGAGCTAAATAGGAGATTGAATTTTTGGTGTTCATTTCCAGTTTTTACAGATGCTTTTAACCATTATAGTGTTTTATTTTTAAAAGTTACTAGAAGGGGGCGCCTGGGTGGCTAAGTGGGTTAAAGCCTCTGCCTTCGGCTCAGGTCATGATCCCAGGGTCCTGGGATCGAGCCCCACATCAGGCTCTCTGCTCGGCAGGGATCCTGCTTCACCCTCTCTCTCTGCCTGCCTCTCTGCCTACTTGTGATCTCTGTCAAATAAATAAATAAAATCTTAAAAAAAAAAAAAGTTACTAGAGGAAGAGAATCATTATTCTGTTTGTCATTAGGGGCTTAGTTTTTCCTATATTTTTAAAAGATATGAACAGTTCAACCCAACAGGTATGCTGTGGGTTATCAATTTATACCCAGATTATACTCTAGTATCAACACCAGCAAGGGCTAAGGGTCCTTTTGTTGGCATTTCACAATAAATAGAATTGACTTTTTTTAGAAATTGAAAGAGATATCTAGGAGGATCTTCACTTTTTTTTTTTTTTTTTTTTTTAATTTTGAAAAGGAATTAGGGAGCAAACAGTTTTTAAATGCTTGCCTACCTAGATGGCCTGTATATCAGTAGTTTTAAAGTATCAACTGGGGACCAGTGCTGGCCATTTTACAGTGGTCCATGGCAAAAAATAAAGACAAAACTGCCTGTCTGTCTATCTATCTATCTATCTGGCATAAGGTCACCAACTGTCTTTTCACAGGAAGGACTGCCCTCCTGCTGCTACAGTGTTTGGGTGTAAAATACTCTTAAGAACTGACGAGAATGGAAAGTGGCAAAACAAAGTTAGCAATGCTATGTTGGTCCTTTACCATTCTTTTTCTTGCATTTACTCGTCAGTGCAATTCAACAGTCTGGGAGCCATCGTGGCAAAGCAATGCTGTATCAGAAAGAGTTGTAGTTCAGGAGGTAGGAAGCTTCACCGTCTGCCTTTGGGCAGGCTACTAGAACCCTCTGAGCCTTCCTTTAGGTGTAATGTGGTAGTACTGATTTCTACACCAAGGGTTGTTGTGAGGAATAGATGAGCTGTTATGTCATATAAAGTGCTTGGTCTATAAAAACAATCACTAAATGAAGGCTGTGAAAAATCTATCACATGAGAGCACTTTAGAAATTCTAAAGCACTGTACAAATATAAGGTACTGGTATTAGCTAGGATTTAAATTTTTTAAAACATCAGTCTGATGATGAATAGCTTCCAGATTGAAAGTGCATGAGTTATCAGAGCAGCAGTAAATCTTTCACCATACAGGGCAAGTCAGTGACGCTAACAAAGCTGGCTCGTTGTGCACAGACTGGCTTGAATCATAATGCAAGACACAGTCCCAGTTCACTTACATCAAGTGCTACTTATCTGTGTCAGGAGTCAACTTTGAAGGGATGTATTCTTTGAAACTGCTTGAAAACTTGCGAAGATGGCTCAAGCGTAGGTTTCTTTCTTCTTTTCTCCCCCTCTTTACAGCCAAAGAAGCCGAAAGCCCCAGACAATCCATTTCATGGCATTGTTTCCAAGTGTTTCGAGCCTCATCTCTACGTGTATATTGAGTCCCAGGACAAGTGAGTGATGAACATTTTGCTGTTTTCTACTGCGTTTCTCCCTCCTCTGGTCATGATTGGGGCTCATAAGGGCATAAGCCCTTCCAGAGGCTAAAGGAGGGACTTGGCAGGCCTCCTATGACCCTGCCTGGAAACCTTCTAGGGTATTTTTGTATCTTATGAGTGTTATCATTCATACTATCCATAATCTTAGAGTTTGACTAACCTTAGAAGCCTGAGTTTGACTCTCATGTCCCAAATGGATCCCAACAACCCCTTCCTACGTGGGCACTGAGCTCTTATATAGCTACAAGGCTTGACCATGTCAGGCACTGGAAAATGGAGAAAGAAACCTAATCTTTAATATACATGTTTTCAAGTATACTTTGTTTAGGTTTTCATTTTAAAGTAATTTAGACTTACAAAAAAGTTACAAAAAATTCTCATAGATCCTTCCTCCAGAGAATGCTACCATTTTATACATAATCACAGTTATCAAAATCAGGAGGGTAACATTGTGCCATGAATGTCCACTTTCTGGCTCAAGATCCTGTCATGCCTTTGGTTGTCAGGTCTCTTTAGTCTCCCTTAACCTTGAATATTTCCTCAGTCTTTTGTTTGTCTCTCATGACCTTGACACTTTACAGAGTGTTGGCAAGTTATTTTCTACAGTGCCCTCAGTTTCAGTTTGTGTGATGTTTGCTCTTGATTTGATCTAGATTATGCATTGCAGGCAAGTATTCCATTACAGGTGATTTTTTTTTTAATTTTTTATTTGATAGAGAGATCACAAGCAGGTAGGGAGGCAAGCAGAGAGAAGGGGGGGGAAGCAGGCTCCCTGCTGAGCAGAGAGCCTGATGCGGGGCTCGATCCCAGGACCCTGAGATCATGACCCAAGCCGAAGGCAGAGGATTAACCCACTGAGCCACCCAGGCACCCCTATAGGTGATGTTCTGTCCCTCTGGGTACGTCATTTGGATGTGTCCCATTACTGGTGATGTTAACTTTGATCACTGGCTTAAGGTGCTTGCCAGCTAGCTTCCTCTGCTGTGAAGCTACTGTTTTTCTCTTTGTAACTAATAAGTATCTCGTGGGGGGATACTTTGGGAGTGTGTGAATATCCTGTTTCTCCTCACACTTTGCCCACTCATTTTGACATCCCTTGATGATTTCTGCCTGAAGCAATTATTACTGTAGTGTTTGCCAAATGCTGATTTTCTGTTTCCATCGTTTCTCCTCTACTCTTTGATTGGAGTTCTTCTGTAAGGAAGCACTTCTTCCTGTCCCCCCATGTGTTTGTGTTTATTTATGTCAGTGTGGACGGTGGATTCTTATTTTCTTTTGTGGATTATCATCCATTTAATATATATACTTTTTTACAAACTCAGGAGTTCCTGAAAATTTTCACAAGTTTCTGCTGCCAACTTTCCTCACAGTCAGAGGACTATCTTCAAGTTCCAATGTCCATTATTCATACAGAGGAGGAAGACCCCCTCCTCATCCCTGAGTCTGTCCACAGCCAGAGGATCTGTTAAGGCCCTTCCACACTGGAAGCCAGATTTTGGAAAGGTCAGGTTTTTGGAGGCAGGCTGGCCCTACTCTGAGACGAGACCTCGTTGTCTGAAGAACGCACTTGGGAGAACCAGACAGTGGCTCACGCTGGGAGCACAATAGCGCCTGTGAGAAAGTTCTCTAAGGGAGTTCTCTGGGAAAGCATTTAGGCACTAAAGTTTAGTCTCCCCCCCTTTTTAATGCTTCTGTTGTGAGTTAGCAAATTCTTATTTCCAAATATGTTTCAGACATAAACCATGAGATTAAGAGACTATTTCCAGTGGAATCGCTACATAGAACATTATTATTATTCACCTATTTGATTTTGTAGATTATGTCTACTCTTTTGGTCCCCAATTACAAAATTTTTTTGTTTTTAAAAGTTTTGTTTTTAAAGTTTTGTTATTAAAGTCGTAGAAAATGAACTTTATAGAAGAGCCATCTGTGTTAACGAAAACAACCTCCTACCTGCCATCCCTCCCAAAGAAGAGTTACTTTTATGTTTTGCCTTGTAAAGCCAATTTGCCTCATCCTCCCTACCCATTGGGCTTCTGTCTGAAGGCACACAGAAAGGCAGTAATTACTTACTACTCTTTGCTTGTTTGGAACACCCTGTCTTCTTATTAAAAAGAACAAGAACCCTTTCCCTGGGGTGCCTGGGTGGCTCAGTCAGTTAAGGTCATGATCTCCAGGTCCTGAGATTGAGCCCCATTTTGGGCTTCCTGCTTGGCAGGGAGTCTGTTTCTCACTCTCTCCCCTTCCCCATCGCTCATTCTCTTTCTGTCGCTCAAATAAATAAATAAATTTTTTTTTTTTTTAAAAACTTCTTTCTCAGGAAGTCAATAGGACACGTGCAGGGGCAGGTAGAAGAGCTGTTGTTTACCTATGAGATTAACAGGTCTTAGCACAGCCCACCTGGATGACTATTTTTGGACAAAACCCCTTCTTCCCTCACCAACCCAAATTCTTATTTTTAGAGAGGTTTAAAAGCTGTTGGATCCCGACTTGAAAGTGCATATCTGAGATAACCACATACTTTTCCCAAACCTTCCTGGTCTAGAGAATCGTTTTTCTGAATTATCATAATTCCAGTCTCTACTCTTTTCACATGGCCTTGATTCATATAGAGTATACTCATTGTTCGTGATACTTCGGGCAGAGAGCCAGACCTCCCTTCCTTAGGGACTCTCCATTTCTCTCTGAAAAATGAAGTGCTGGCCACTCAGCCTGCCGCTTGGCCTCGCTAGGATGTTTCCACAGCCCCGGGGATGTAGCAGGAGCTACTCGGAGGAGAATTGCGTAGGTTGTACCGTTGTCGTTCCAGAATAAGCAGCAAAGACTTGAAGTAGAAAAGAGAGTTCAAGAAATCAATTCCCTCAACTTTTAAAGCAGAGAATCAGTCAAAATAATGCCTAAAGCGATGGCTATTAACCTTTTTTGAGTCACGGATCCCTTTGAGAGCCCAGTGAAACTGTAGACTCTCTTGCCCCCCCCCCAAAAAAAATCACATAAACCCACACACTATCTTGAGAGCAATTTCAAGGGATTCTGCAAAGCCCTTCCTCCCTTTTGTCCAAGAATCTGAAGGGAAGAAACTCAGGTGGGGACTGTTTTGGTACTTATTTCATTCTTGTAGCTCTGACTCAAAAAATCTGCAGTGGAGGAAAATTTTAGACCATTCACAAACTCCCCGATGACAGAGACCCAACAGAGTGTAGTGGAAAGAGCGTGGGCCTGGATGCCGGACAGACCTGGATTTGAGTCAGAACTCTGTACTCACTAGCCTGGGACCTCAAGCATGGTACTTAACCTCTCGGAGTTGGCTTTGTCCTCTCTCCAGCGCAGTTAGTAACGTTCCCCTCACAGGATTAGTGGCGAGGCTGAGAAGAGCAGACATGTTGGCACTTGGCACGAGTAGTCAGGAACCGTGCCTAGCCTGCCCTGCCCGTCTGATGCTCTTGTCCCAGACTTGTCAGTGGTTGGGTGGCCTGATCAGTGTTGCCAGCTTTCTGTTGGGCCTGACATGGCCCTCCCACCTGCCCAGAGAAAGTTCTGGCAGCACCTGTGCCAGCCAAAAGCCAAACAGCAGTGGGAAGACTGCAGAGCCGGGACCTAGGGAGGACGAAGGAAGTAGGAATATCCCCAAAGCCATCTCCTTAGCAGATTTGGCTGAGCTGTCCTTGTATGCTTTAAGCGGCTTTCTCAACTTTTGTTTATGTTCCAGAAGGAAGTTCATATACCTTTCCATCTTGGGAATGCAGGGATTTTCTCTGGCTGACCCTTGGAGAAGAGATTTTTCTACATAGACACTTTCTTCAATTTGCAGGCAAGAGTGCCCCCATTACTCCTTGAGACTTCAGTGCGTGTTTCCTATAAATAAGCATGCGGTCTACCTCACTGTAGCACACCTGTCAACATCAGGAAGTTAACTTGATCCATTAGTACCATTTAATCTGTAGACTCCATTCCATTTCCCTGGTGGTCCCCGTCATGTTTTTTCTAGATCAAGGATCCGTGCCAGGACACTTGTCACATCTCTTTGGTCTCTTCAGTCCAGATAAACAACTCATTCTTTCTTTATCTTTCATGACCTTGAAATTTTTGAAGAGTACAGGCCAGTTCGTTTGTGGAATGTCCTTCCGTCGGGATTTAACCAATGTTTCCTCATGATCAATGATTTATGCAGAAGTGGGGCCGGGTGCTTCTCAGTAATTCACATCAGGAGCCGTTCAGTATCAGTTTGCCCTACAGCCTGTGGTGTTCATTTTTATTTTACTTTTTTTTTTTTTTTAAGATTTTATTTATTTATTTGACAGAGAGATCACAAGTAGGCTGAGAGGCAGGCACAGAGAGGGGGAAGCAGGCTCCCCCCTGAGCAGAGAACCCGATGTGGGGCTCAATCCCAGGACCCTGAGATCATGACCTCAGCCAAAGGCAGAGGCTTAACCCACTGAGCCATCCAGGTGCCCCATTTATTATACTTTCTTTAGTTGGAGTCTGCCAGGCTTCTCTCTTTATTAATAAGTAATTAATAACAATAACTGTCAGGAGAAACGTTGAAATCATACAGTCTTTTTCTCATCTTTCACTTCCCGCTGATACTTGCCTGAATCATTTATTACTAAGATAGTTGCTGAATGATGATTTTTTTCTAATACCATCATTTCTTCTGCGTTTATTAGTTCTCAAAAGCTTTCTCTTTCCCCCACTTACTATGTCAGCACATACTCCTGGATTCCTATTTTATTCAGTGGATTATAGCCATTATTACCTTTATTTAAGTTTATGCTGGGATAAACTTAAACCTACATAAAAGTTTCAGAAATAGCTCAGATTTCCCATATTCCCTTCTCCCAAGTTCTCCTGATGTCAACGTCTTACATAACCACAGGATAGTTACCACACCAGCGAGTTAACAGTTCTGTTTGCTAAACTCAGGCCTTATTTGGATTTCCCGCCGGTTTTTCCAC